TACGTTGTGAATGGAAATGAATACACGTATGGATATTACCTAGGTGATGGGATATATACAGAGTATGCTACATTTATTAAGTCTTTTTCGCTTCCAGCCGTTGAGAAACGAAAATTGTTCAAGTTAGCACAGGAATCTTCACGGAATGACGTTGAAAGAGCGTTTGGAGTCTTAAAACAAAGGTGACACATAATCAAGCATCCAGGACGAACATGGGATAGGACAAAACTAACGACAGTGTTGACTGCCTGTGTGATTTTACATAACATGATAATAGAAGAAGAGGGCAGAGCTATTTGTTCATATACCGACAACGATGCACTTAACCCACCTGCAGTAATACAAGTTGGCAGCCCGACATACTTCTCTAGGGTTTTGGAAATACAAAATCATGAAACGCATCACAATCTACGACACGATTTGACCGAGCACATATGGGGGAGACAACACCAAGGGTGAAATGACGATGAAGACGAAGAGGATGAGGGCGATGATTACGACGAGAATGCAGACGGTGACGACGAGGCGAATGAGGATGATGATGATGACGACGAGTAGTACTATTCTACGGTTTTTGTGTTTTACTTTTTTTTTAATTAAGTAGTGTAGTAGTTGATTTGTTAGGTTTTATGTGTGTTTTAGTAATTTTAGGTTTTAAATTTCTATGTTTTTAATTAATGAAAAGTTTTTTTTTTTTTTCAAAAATTTATTTATCTTATAAATTATGTTTTTTATTTCATATAGTGTTACAAAAAAAAAAAAAAAACGTACATATTTTAAAAATTATGTTATTTATTTAAGAAAATGTTAAAATAATAATAATAATAATAAAAGTAAATGTTGTTAGTGGTGACCATTTCCATAGTGAAGTAGGTTGGTGGTGAAGGTGACATGGCGCAGATGTGGTACCAATTTTCCGGTGAGTTTGTAGTGACCACTCCACATAGCCTTAGGGTGTGTTTGGGATTGCTTTTTGAACATAAAAGTCCTTTTTGTAAAAGGACTTTTTGTAAAAGAACTTTGTCTAAAAGATAGTGTTTAAAATGTGTTTGACTTGTCTTTTATGACTTTTAAGTGATAAAAGCTAAAAGTCACAAAAAGATAGGAATTCCTATCTTTTCTCCAGCCAACTTTTCCTTCTTGACTAAAAGTTGGTTTTAAAAGATCTTTTTAATTTGCCAAACAACTTTTAGTAATTATTAACTTTTTAAAAAAGTTAAAAGTCAAAAAGATGATTAAAAAGAAATGCCAAACACCCTATCTTTTAGTAATTATTAACTTTTTAAAAACTTAGGAGGTTAATTAGGTATACAGTTTGTCCGCATTAGGTACTAAGGTTTTTTTGTGCGCATTATGTCACTAAGGTTGTTATTACCGTTTAAAAATAGTTTTTTTTACCGGTTTCTCCCTGTTTAATTTAGTTGGCAACTTATATGTCCGGTGGCATGCCTATAACCACCCCATCGCCTCCACCTCAAAAATGTCCCGTATTTCTTGTGCCCTAAATTGAAGAGTTGAAGAAGAATAGAAAAAGATGTTGCAAGCCTCCATCGCCTCCACCTCAAACAATCGAATCATGTGTTGTTGTGGGCTCCCGAGTTGGATTCGAGTCTCCACGACACCACAAAATCCGGGGAAAAGGTTCAGAACGTGCACTAATTCGTTAGTAATGGCCAATTTTGAAGATTGAAGCTTTTCACTCTTTAAATCTCTGTTATAAGTGTGTAAGTTATGGCATTTATCCTAAAACTTTGTTCTTTTTCATTTTTTTATAGAGATCAGGGAGAAAGTGTGGATTTTAGGAATGGGTTGTTGAAGATCCGGTCACAGAGGAGCTTTTGGGTCTTAGTCATGAGCTGAATGAAATGAAGAAGAAGATGAAATGGCATAAAGTAGCTTTGATTGTCTTGTTTGTATTGTACTTTGTTAAGTAGTGGAATTATGATGTAGTAGACATCTTTTAAATATAAAGGGTACCTATAATTTTGCTATTTTGATTGTAAGGGTACCTATAATGTAATGAACTCATATGTATGAATGCAAATGAAGCTTTTGGTAATGAAATATGTAATTGTAATGTTAATATGGTGTATTGAAATCTAATATGTTATTATAGTGAACAACCAATGTCAGTAATTATAATGAACAACCAAATTGAAGGCAAAGTACATTTGTAAAGTGTATGATTCAACAACCAAAAATCAGCTCAGATTTAAAGTAGAAAATATATTAAAGGGTAATATTGTTAACAAACAAATACCCTTAAAAAGGTGTCCCATTCAGCATCAAAATAACATCAAAAGTTGGATAGTTTTGTCCCTTAGCCTAGTACAACATTACATTTAATATCAAAATATTCAACCATCACATGCTTACCTAACACTTACACCCCACATGCATACATAAGAAAACAAAAGAGTTCAACATCAAACCTACAATTAAGTCAAATCTACAAGTTTTATGAACTACAACCACTACCATCCTTGGGCACCACTTTTTTCCTCACACACAGTTTGGTGATTCTTTTTGAAGCTTTCCTCTTTCTCAATTGAACTGCACTTTGAACTAGTCTTGCAGAAGTGAATCTTGGTCTTGGAGTTGCAGGAGTGGATCTTAGTCTTGGAGTTGCAAGAGTGGATCTTGGAGTTGCAGAAGTGGATCCTAGAGTTGGAATTGGAGCTGGAGTGGAAGATCCAAGATCACCTATTGTTGGAATTCTTTTTGTTGGGCACCCATTTTTTTATGCCCACTAACATATCATATTGAACACCTTTGCACCCACTTTACTCTTGATATTGTGTGTGTACTTGATATCTCCCATCCTTGGGTACCACTTTTTTCCTCACACACAGTTTGGTGATTCTTTCTGAAGCTTTCCTCTTTCTCAATTGAACTGCACTTTGAACTGGTCTTGCAGAAGTGTATCTTGGTCTTGGAGTTGCAGGAGTGGATCTTGGAGTTGCAGAAGTGGATCCTGGAGTTGGAATTGGGACTGGAGTGAAAGATCCAGGATCACCTGTTGTTGGAATTCTTTTTGTTGGGCACCCATTATTTTATGCCCACTAACATAGCATATTGAACACATTTGCACCTACTTTACTCTTGATAATGTGTATGTGCTTGATATCTCCCTTTCTGCTGCACTTTTCCTACTCTTAGTAGATGGCCTACCAGGTAGCCTGCTAATCTGTGGGGGTAAAGGCTTGGTGTACTCACTTTGTGTCCATAAAGAGCTATCATCCAAAGGATGAATAATGTATGCATAGCAGGTGAGATAAGTTGCCTTACTGTAACAGCTAGCTACATATTCCTCTGAGTTTAAGTTCATGGATGAAATTGCAACTACTCCATGTACACAAGGTATTCCAGTCAACTGCCATCTCCTGCATCCACAAGTCCTTCTGATCAGGTCAATTGCATACTTATCATTACATAATACCACCTCAAATTGTTGATACCCACAAGGGTATACATCCTAGAATTTGTACATAAATATTAAACAGGTAAGAACACATGAACACATGTATAAACATTAACAAGTAAATACAAACATTCTTACCTTTGTTTCTCCTTCAAATATACTATTTTCTTCCTAATGCTTGGGCATATAGTTAAATCCCAAGACTCTCCCTTACTCCTCTGATGGTATAACCTCTGCATCACATAAACCCTTATATCCTCCAACATTGCTATTATTGGTTTATGTCTAGCCTCAACTATTTCAACATTAAAACTCTTTGAAATTCCATTTCCACAGCATCACAAAATACTGCTTCTTCTTGAAAAGCCCTACAATAACATTTAGGGTCCCTCTCCATGAGATAATAAAATGCTCCCCCCTATTTAATTCCTTGATCTCTTGCATAGCAACTTCATATCTCTGTTTTGTGGTAGCCTTCACAACTCTCCAAAATGGCTTGATGCTCACCTTTGAAACTGGAGTTGAAGTTGGCTAGTATATGCCTAGCACATAATCTGTGCTCAGCATGAGGAACCCTTTCCTTGATAGTTTCAATTAAACCCTGTACAGTTTACAATATTAAGTAATAATTAAACTATAAAGTTAAGAGTAAACATGAGTAGTACATTGTATCCATCTGATATAAGAGTAAGCCCATTTCCATTGCCTTTGTCAATATCATGCATGAGTAGATCAATAAACCATTTCCAAGTTTCTTTGTTCTCAACAGTTACAACAACCCAAGCTAGGGGGAACATGTTGTTATTGGCATCCCCACCCATGGCAGCTAAGAGTTCACCCTTGCAAATTCCTTTGAGAAAGCATCCATCAATCCCAATGATTTGTCTACATCCTTCTACCCAACCATCTCTTACACCTTTAAAGCATACATACAACTGTTTAAATATTAGACTTCCATCAAGGGTATGTTCAACTTCCATATTCACAGTTGATCCTGGATTAGCTTTTTTGATTTCTATGCCATAGTCCCACAACCTACTATAATGCTCTTTTACAGTGCCTTCTATCTCAGACAATGCAAACTTTTTTGCATTTCTACATTGTCCAATGCTAACTATGATGTTGTATGTGCTTGAGATTTGATCTTTCATCTTCCTCAAACTAAGCTTGGGGTTTTCCAGAAGTACATTGAAATATTGTTTCCTTATCCGTTTGTAAGTCACTAACCTTATTTTAAAAACTCTACCACAGTTATGTCTTGATTTAAGTGACTTAATCTGAAAAGTCCTTTCCTCTTGCATCCAAGAAGCCCACAACCGAAAAGGACATGTACGTTCTTTATCTTTGCAACACTTCACTAGAAGTTTGTTTTTATCATTCTTTTCATACCACAAATCATAACCATGCTTAACAACATAGTTGGTAAGACATTGTTTAAGTTCAGCAGGATTGGTGAATTTCATACCTGACACAGGATCCATTTCATCCCATTCTTGCTTAGAATTGTGCACAGGGTATACAAGTGGTAGTTGCTCAACTTTAGACTCTTCTTCCTCTTCAGTATTTGGGCAAATTTTGTTCAAAAACTGTCTTTCTTCTGAATAGTTGATGTTGCCGTTTTCATCGAAAAATCCTCATCATCCACCTCGTGTTCCCAACACTCTTTATCTAGTAACATTGAATCAACATCTTCATCTGCATTGGAGTTGGTATCATCTTCAACTTCAAGCTCTTCCATTTCAATCCACTCAAACAGGGGTTCATGCATATGGTCCACATACACAGTTACTTTCTTTTTCTCATGAAGACACTCAAGAAATTCATGATAATCATATTCGTTCTGCAATGTGGCCAATCCTTGACACAATGTTTGGCCATCTGGACAATAGTATACATCTTTGCACATTCCTATAGTAATCACTTTGAGGGGAGCAATGAATTCAGCATACCCTTCTCCCTGAAATCGGCGTACAATATCTCCTTTTTATCTGTATCAAAATAGATAAATGGTTTGCTGATGAACATCCCGTAGTAATGGACTTCAACGACCGATATATCATCTTCAGCCATCTGATCGTGGATTGATAAAAGTAAGAACAGTGGGTGGGGACGATCGAGTGAGAGTGAAGAGAAAGTGATTGGGGATTCATCTTTCCCTAATTTAAGGAGACGAAATATACATTAAATGCCACCTAATAATCCACGTAATGGCCTAATAACCACGTAACACCCATTTATAACATGTATTCACTTTGTAACCGGTTAAACAAGTAAAAAAACTATTTTTAAACGGTAATAACAACCTTAGTGACATAATGCGCACCTAATAATCCACGAATCGCTTCAAAAAATTATTATATAAACTCAATGTGAGTCTGGCCAATTGCTTCGCTTATTTGAGTTTGTCAAGCCTAGTATATCTTGGGTTCGACAAATTGACAAGTCAAAATGTTTGGAGCACAAAAAGATAAATATATACATGTATATTCGAGCCATATGGTAATTTTTGTGTTAGTTCATTATATATACATATTAATTGTGGGAATGCTTATGAAGAGTAACCTGGAGCCAGTTGGTTGCTGTTCATCGGCTGGTCAAAGATGGTGGTGGCTGATTGATATTTATGGCTCTTTTTGGTTGGTCAACGACTGGTATGACTAACATGGCTTTTTGATATTCTTTTAAGATGATTAGTGTATTCACCGCTCTCCTCCTCTAATAGTTGATCTCTACTTAGCTGTCTCCACCGCTTCTCACCCTGTAGATGTTTGTTGCGATCAAAAATCCCCGCACCATCTAAAATTCATCTTCCGTTCATCTACAACACCTCTTCTACATTCCATGATACCCACCTCCAGCACTGTCCTCCTCCTATTCCGCCCCTCCGCCAACGACACCCACCTCCACCGCCAACATCCCCCTTGGTAAGTTTTTCTTTTGATTGTCCCCCAATGATCGTCATCCCTATTCACGCCTATACCGGAAAACCACAACAACAAAAGACCGCTATTGATTGTCGCCCACCATATCCTCTATCATGTCGATCTTCAATCACCACTTAAACAGACCCATCAAAACTTTTATGAAGCCCATAAAAATATTAAAAAAATCTGAAACTAAAAAAACCCTAACCGCTTTGTGCTTCTATGTTCACCACACTAAAACTTTTATGTCGCCACTGTGCTTGCTGATGGAGTCAGACTCTCGTTTATCACAGTCTCGACATCTTGGAATCTCGAAGGTCTTCCCATATGAAGCTATCACAATCTTGGTGTATGTACTCATACTTATTCCACTCTCATCAACTCATTGTCGTTATGGCTCTTTGCATCTCATCATATTTATTTTATTTAAATTGCAATTTGTGATATTATAATCTTATTTTCCATCTATCTAAATTGTTTTGAGGTAAATGTGTTACGAATTATAATATATAGACTACAAAGATGAGAGTATAAGAAGATCGTTCTACGATAAAAAGTCAATTCTTTTCTTCTTTTTATTGTCTAGGGTATTGTAATGTGGTGACACTCAGTATTTTTTTCCTTCTATTCAAATTTTATATCATTTTGTTTATTTTATATTATTTTCATTATATATATATATATATATATATATATATATATATATAAACCTACATGACTTCAAATTTGATATGCATTTGACTTTTATGTATTGCGAATTAATTTTGAACTAATTTTAAAAGTTTGTTGGTATATTCATTAATATTTAGTAATAAAGGTTGTCAAGAACTTAAGATTATAAAAACATGTAATTGATCGTTTTAAAAATGATAAGTTTTGATAGAATGTTTTATTGTGTAAATGGAGATAATATATTATATTTTGTTGTTTTTTATTATGGTGGTTGGAGTTGATATAATACTTACAAAGATATAAATTTAGTTATAAAGATGTTAAAATCAATCTTATGTATCATTTGGATGTGCCTAACTTCTTATATCTCCGACCCCTTAGCTTTAGTGTCTCTATTCTGCTCCTCCTAGTTTAGGGTATTGTGATTTAGTTACATTCCAAGTGTTTTTTTCCTATTCAAATTTTATATCATTTTGTTTATTTTATGCTGTTTTCATTTTTATGCTATATATATATATATATATATATAATATATATATATATATATATATATATATATATATATATATATATTTGACTTTTATGTATTGCAAATTAATTCTGAACTAATTTCAAAATTATGTTGACATTTTTATTAATATTTAGTGATAAAGGTTGTCAATAACTCAAGATTATAAAAAAATTATATAATTGATCGTTTTGAAATGACAAGTTTTGATAAAATGTTTTATTGTGTAGATGGAAATAATATATTATACTTTGTTGTTTTTTTTTTTTTATTATGGTGGTTGGAGTTGAAATAATACATACAAATATATAAATTTAGTTATAAAGATGTCAAAATCAATCTTATATCTCATTTGGATGTGCCTCACCTCTTGTATCTTCGGCCCCTAGTTTTAATGTTCGTATTTTGCCCCTGTGCATACTCTCTCCGTTTATCACAACGAGACGATTTATAAAACTAAGTAGGATAGGTAGTTAAAGAAGGAAAAAGAAGCACCAAACTAGGTAAATCCCTTCCTAATTTAGGTCGACCTTTAGTTATTTGTGTTAAAAGTTAGGGTTTCAAATTATGGTTTTTTGGGGGCCTTGGTGGTCTAATCATGTTAGTGTATGATGATAATGATGTATGTTCTTGAAGGAAAATGTATGCATATTGAGAATTTTTCTAGAGCATCGTTCTTTTGATGGGTTGAACTAGTTACGTTTTAATGAAAAATGTATTTCAGCATTTTGAGAATGGAAATGTGTTTATTATGTAGTTAGGAACATTCTTGTAGAATAAATATGTACATTATGCTAGATTATGATATGTGTATGGTAGTTTGGTGATATCCATAGATTTTGGTAAATCTCAATAATACAGTATTTGTGGTTTAAATCGATAATCATACTAGAATGTGAGACAAGTATTTAAGAAAATGGAATTTATGTCAAAATATTACCATTAAATTGTCAATTATCAGATTGTGATATGTGTATGGTTGTTGTAATATAGTGTTAAGTATTCCTACCTATCACGTAGGTGACTCGGGTTCGATCCCCGACAACGGGGCCAAAACTTGGTGGGATGCCAAGCCACCAAGCAAATTCCACCTTTTTACTTGCAAATAAAACATAATATAATGGAAAAGGGGATCAAATCCATACGAAAATGGTTGTATTTAGTCACGAATGCAATCCAAATGAAACAATTGAAATAAAACTAAACAACCAAAATTAAACTAGAGGTTGTTGTGATTTGTTTAGAAACTAAAAGACTTGAAGACATTAAAAAACTTGCAATTGAGATGTAACACCATAAATTTCAAGACAAAATTTTCATTTAAAATAATCATTTTATTCTTAGAAACACTTGTTTAAAATCTCATTCATAGTCGATTTACAAAACATGACTCCATTTTCACTTGCATAGAAAACCAGGATCCTCCAAAATATGACTCTTTCTCTGGTGTGTACAATCAAGCCGGTGTCGTCCCGTGATACTGAAAGAAACCTGAAAAACATCACACAAAACACTGTAAGCACGAAGCTTAGTGAGTTCCCCAAAATACCACACATAACACATATTAGCCACTCGAGGCTATAACTCTATGGGTCCGTGCACCCAAACTCTGTGAACCCTCAGGTTCTAACTCTGGGAACCTTCCGGTTCCAACTCTATAAACATGCACAACATAAATCACATAGAAATAATGCAGTACAACACATCACGTACATATAGCATACAAATACTCTGATCACATAACTCTAGTTACCTACTCAAGGTAAAGTATAGTGAGAAGACTCACCTGGCAAGCAGAAAGCAGATATCCCCACACTTGAATCTCGAACTCGCCACCGCCTAACACGTAAGGCAAATACTCTCATGAATATAACTCTCGAGACTAGAATAAATCCTCTCATAACACCCTCTTATGGGTAAAAGACTATTTTACCTTTCTCTTGGCCCAAAGGCCACATCGCTGACCAAACCCTAAAAGTCAACGGCCAACCCTTGGTCGAAATCAAAGTCCTCAGTCTAAGTCAACCCCTGACTAACCCTACTCGCCGAGTCAACCCCGTGACTCATCGAGTTCCCATAATCAGAACTTCACTCAATCTGCGACCTAACTCGTCGAGTCCAACAACTCTGAGTCCACTCGCACACGACTCACCGAGTCATCCCTCGACTCACCGATTCTCGACTCAACCATAGAATATTTGGGACTCTTCGACAAGACTCGCCGAGTCCAAATGGACTCGTCGAGTCCAAGGCTATCTTCAACCTACTCGCCGAGTTGTTCTTCCAACTCATCGAGTTCCAGGCCATCTTCAAGCAACTCGTCGAGTCGCCCCATGTGACTCGTCGAGTACCACCGGTCTGAATCCATACAGAAGCGTCTCAGGCCATGCAATTGATTCAAAACATAGATCTAGTCTCCTACCACTCATCCATCACGTAAAGTGGCAAACTTTACGTGAATCCAAAGAGATCTAAGCCGTTTGCACATTGGGGCTAGGGTTTGGGACATGTAAGCTTCACTAAACACTCCAACACAGGGACTTTCATGCTCTCTGATTCTTCTCCCTTCCAGATATGAGGTAGCAACCTCAGATCTAACCTCTAGACTTCCCATTTCATCCATAGACAATTTCTCACAAACCCCAAAATGAAGAAACAACATAACAACAGGTCAATAACGAGATATTACCTCTAAGTGATGCCCCAACTGCAATGAAATTCGAATCCGAGCAAAGCCCATTTTCTCCAAGCCTTCAATCTTCCTAAAATTTCTTCAACCATTACTTCTCCAAGCTCCAATCCACTCAACAATGGTGCTTCTCCGTGATTTAGGGTTTTCTGGGGCTCAAGGGGTAAATAAAGAGGCTGGGAGGAAAACATAGTGATCTTTATATAAGGCTCAACCCCGAGAATTAGGGTTTTCTCCACTCAGCGCCTACTCGCCGAGTCCATTACACTGACTCACC